AGTGCCCCCGGGGTTTGGGGTCACGGCAGCTCGCTGGAAGCGCTCTCCGTGTTACGGGAAACACACACTGGGCAGACACCTCATTTATGCCTCCGTCCTCCTTCTCGTGGCATTTTCATAATCTCCTGTGACTTTGCACAGAGCACCCGAAACACGGATCTAGGACACCCGTGGTGTGTTGGGTGCCAGGTCACAGGCACGAGAAGGATGCAGTTGACCCCCAGCCCCTTCCTGCCAGGGAATTTGCCGTGCCTGCTGTTCCCCATATCCCTTAATCCACAGTCAACAAGCAGGGTTTGGTGGGCGACACAAGACGCGTAAAGCTCTCTGGATCTTCTTGGCCAGGAGGTGGAGGCAAAGCGCTGAAGTCTCTCTGTCTATCACAGGTCAGTTTATTTTCTGCTAGTGCTTCCAACAGTCCCAAAATGCCGCCCAGTATCCCTCACCGATGGAGGCTCACGTGTATTGGCACCCAACTAAAGCAACCACGCCAATACCTCCACATCCGCCAGCCACTAAACAGCGCAGAATCTTCTCTCTGCCCTGCTCTGGCTGGCACCCCAGCACCCAGCCTCAGCCTCCCATCTCACTCTGGTACACCAGCATCTCCTTGCAGATGATGACAGCCCCTCCCCAAGATTTGCTGCGCAGCATTTGTCATCCTCCGGTGGGTGCGCCACAGAGGTCTGTCTCCTCCACATTGAGTGCTGACAGAAGTGAGATCACACACGTCTTTGGGGCTATATGTGCATGTCCTGATTTTTGGGATAGTTAGCTTTCCTGGAGAGTGCTGCAGCGCTGTGTTTTTTGGATTTAATATGAGAATATTGTGGATAATACACTGATTATTTAGTTGTTACCCAGTAGTGCTCATTCTAAGTCAAAGCCTTTCAGTTTCTCGTGCTCCACCAGTGAGAAGGTGCACAAGCTGGGAGGGAGCATGGCCAGGACAGCTGACCCAAACTGATCAAAGGGATATTCCACACCATGGAACATTTTGCCTAGTATATAAATGGAGGGGAGGAGGAGGAGTTGACTGGAAGCTGCTGATGCTCATCCCCCATCACTGGGGGAGGGGCTAGGCATCAGTCAGTGAGTGGTGAGCAACTGTACTGTGCATCACTAATCTTTCTTGGGTTTTATTCCTCTCTCTTTCATTGCAATTACTATCATTAGTATTATTATATTTACTTTGCTTCCATTCTTAAACTGCTTTTAACCCACAGGTTTTACTTTTTTCCTTTTTCCCTATTTTCCTTCCCACCAGGAGGTGGTGGTGAGTGAGCAGCTGTGATGATGCTTAGTTGCCAGAGGGAGTTAATCGGCAGCAGTGGGAAGGGATTTGCTCCCATTTTTAATTCATCCTCCTGGTGCTGCCACAAAGGCTCCCATTGCCAAGCAGAGGACCACCTGCTTATTACTCTGCCTGCAAAACCTGCTCTGAATGTGAGCAGGAAACCAAGCTTTACACAAATGCAAACAACATGGTACCAATGAGAACCACTGAGTGGGCCTCACGAAACCATAAAATACCTTAAAAGTGTGTAAAAAAGCTGTTCTCCAGAAATCACCTGCCTTGCTGAAGTGGGCAGTGATTCACAGATACTAAATAAGGGGCTCCGTGCACAGATTCACTCAATGGCAAATCTTTTCATGACTTTGCTACAGCAAGGATCTACAGCTAGGTGCAGACCCTTCCATAGCGAGAGCCCAAGGAGGCACTGCAAGAGGAAAAACAAATCACACAGCCAGGATTCTCGTGGAGATTGAGATCACTTTTATTTTCAGTCATTTTGGCGAGGACGTGTGGGCAAGTGTGGGTGTGGTGCGTGTATGTCTGGGCATGCATGTGTGTGTGCGCAGAGTCCTGCCCAGTGGTGTAGACTATATGAATACCTGCAGTTACAGTCCATGAACTGAGCCATGAAGCGTGTGATGAGTGCTACACTGAGGCCCACTCACTTGCCTCTTCTTGTGCTTACTGCAGTGCAGCATCTCCACCTCCCGGCACAGCTGTTCCAAGGATGCCAGCCCAAGATCCCATCCAAAGGGCACGAGAGGAACTGAGCTCCGGGATCTGGCTCTGCAGGAGTGAGCCAGTGCATTTTCATCTCACTTAGTGAGTTCCTAAGTAATATTTCCAGTTCCCTTTGACACAACTGTATCTACCTCCTCACCGAGAGGAGCCTCAACTGCTTGGACAAACTTTAGCTGCCTCAGAGGTACAATGGGAAAGAGAACAGGGACCCCACATAAGTTCCAGTGCTACAGCACAGCCAAGCACATCTTGAGTTCCTGGGAAAGCAGCACCCAAATACACTACTGAGTTTTTACAGCCACCACGAAGCTGTGGCATGGGGGACGCTGCAAGGGAGATGACCCATGCTTCTGCAGCCCCCAGTCTCTCTTCCATCTGATCTGAGAGACCATAAAGCAGGGTAAATCCCAAGATAGCCTCTATTTCAGTTTAGCTTTCCAAAGCTGAATCCCCCAAGCTCAGAGCACAGACAATGCAGAAAGAACAGCACTGCCATGAAAGGAGACTAGTCAAAGGGATCCTGGCTTTGTGGCAGACTGGAAACAATCTTACTTCTCTGACCTTTTTGCTTAGAGCAAAGTTAAAACAGAGGTATCCCATCACTCAGGAGCCTCTGCAACTGCCAGAAGTCTCCAAGTACTCCTGTGAGCCCTAAAATGACCTAAATGTGCAGCATCACCCTTTGGGCTCACTCTCTCTCACCTCTACCTAGTTGTATGCTGCTTAGGGACATGCAATTCCTCACATTACACAGACCCAGAAGAAGGCAAAGCTGCTATCCTGGGAGTTTGGCTTGGACGGATGCAGTTTTGAATCCCAGGTTTTGCTTCAGAGCGTAACACAAGGTACTCCAGGGCATATTCCAGCTGCTGAAAGTCCTGGAGTGCAAAGCAGCTGGCTAGCTCTGCTTCCCAATCTGTCTGAACCAGTTTCAGCAGGAAATCAAAAACCGGTCAAGCAAGGGGTCTGCAAACCAATAAGCAAAACCAGTACAATCGTCTTGGGTGAAGGAGGCATCTAGGAGATTGCCAGGAAACTCTCCTCCTATGCCAAAGGAGTTAAATTCATTGTCAGCTCCACAGGGCTGATGTCCCAGTCCTTTCTGACCTCTTTATAATACATCTTCAGTAAAGGCTGCAGAGTGCTCCACAGAGGCCTTAGTCATTTCTAAGTTTGGTTAGCCCTATCCCACTCTCTGAGCAGGGACAAGAACTAGAACATAATACATACTCTGAACTCAGGTATCTGCTGTTAGGGCACTGCATTCAAACCCTCTTTCCTTGTGGATTGATTGATGAAAAATGACAGATCCTTCAAAAATTCAGGGCTCTTATCCCTGGGGCTGAGGGATATTAAGTGAGGTCTGAGGCAGGAGCTCAGCAAAGGGACACCGTATGAGGATCCCAGTGTGCATCCTTAAAAACAGCGACAGCAAAATCAAAAGTACTATGAGCCGCTTGGTTTGGTTCTCCTGCATGGATCTCTCACCTGGCAACTGCAAAGGCGAGATGTTTCTGAACTGCATAGAAAATTAAATGGCTTTTGCATATTAAAAAGATTTGGATGAAAACACAGTTACACCAGTTACTAAACAGTGGGTGGATGAGCAATCACCGTTTTGTATTAAACAGACCCAACTAGATTGATCTCCATACTGCCACACTCCTGGCATTACGGCTTCAGTGCACAGCAGCAGCCTGCGTGCCTGCAGAGGCCAGGGAATGCTCCCACAGAGGTGGCACAGCACACCCTGGCAGGAGGGCTGCAGTCCCAAGGAGCAGGCTGTAAGTCCTCTTGCAGTCTGCTCTGTCCTCTCATTCCTTCAATGCTCACACATCCCAGACCAGATGGGCACACTGGGAAACAGGCCTCCGGCTGGAAAAGGATTCCAGTTTGTGGTTTCTTTACAATGTGGTTTCCACGCAACTTCACAGCAACAAATCGCTAGTTTCTTCCTATGGAGAACGGAAAGAGAGGTGAGTAGCAGCAAAACAGGAGGAGAAGGCCACCCAGCACGGGAGGTGACAGTAGGGAATGCCCTAACACAAGTTCTGCCTGCACCAGGCATGGTTCATGGGCAGCAAGACTCAGGACAAAGGAGTTTCCTAGCATTATTCCTGAGCACCATTCAAAGATCTCACCTCCTTTTCACCTTCTCCAGCCACCACAGACAGTGTTGAGTCTCCAGTTTATCCACAGCAACACAGAAGCACAATCAATGATTCTCACTGACATGAGGTTCATTGCCAGAGGTAGCAGGTCAACACATGAAATCTGAGCCCAAGCTACCCTCCCAAGCTGGAATGAAACCCTGAAGAGACAGGAAGCTGACTGAGCTGCCAGCTTTTATTTGGCAGCTTTTGCCCCTGAAGTAAGGTACATAGCTTGATTTCTTCTACCTGGCCTCTGGATCTCCTGCTGGAGTGGATGCTGCCCTGCTTTGCCAAGCATTAAGTTCTTGCCAATGGGAAGATTTACAGCCTTGCACAAGGCTGGCATTTGAAGGATCAGAACCCAGGGGAATATCATCTGTGCAACTGCAGCAGGTCCCAATAGGACACACCACTCTCTTGCAATGGTTGCAGGCCTGGCCAGCTCACATCCTGGTGGGCACTGCCTGTACCACCCACCCCAGGTCTGCCATCACAGCTCAAAAAGTTAAGAGCTGTACATTAACACAAGTATTTTAAGTCCCTCATCTCTCAGACCTCCCCCAGCATCTGATGAAGGGATCCTGGCTCTGGAAATGCCTGCCTCCTGTTGATTTACATTAAATTAATATTTGCATGGAGCAGGACTCACACAGCACAGTTACCAGGGCTCAGCTGCAGGGCATAAACTATCAGCAACATCTTAGAAGTCCTCAAAGCCACACAGCTGGGGGAGAAACCTGAACTTTGGTACCAGTGCTCAGCCTGCCCTTTCCCACATCTGGAGAGGGAAGAGGGCTGCTCATGAAGCATGGCTGCCAGGGGGATCAGGATCAGTTTGTACTACACAGCCACACACTGGTTCTACCAGATCTCGGCACAAAGATGCCTGGGTGGCTTTCCTAGGAGGACGACCAAGATCTAGATTTTTAGTGCTCCAGTGGACACGATGCACAGAGAGTACCAAAATGGCAGTGCAGCAGTACCAGCCATGGCAGACCAGCAGCTGTTCAGGGATAATGGTTACACTAGGGATAAGAAACAGCATGTGCCAGAGGCACACTGACTGCCCTGCTTTTGTCTCTGCATGATCACAGCGTGTCCTCACCACTTCATGGCACAACGTATGAGAACACACAGGGCAGGAAACAATTCCCAGCCTGCTTCCCTGTCAGCCTCCACTCAAGATTGCTGCATGGGACACAGCCAACCATTTTGTGGTGGAGCAATTTTAAAGGCTTCGCAGTACCAACCCATTCCCCAGCAAAGCTTTGGCCAACTGCCACAAAACTCACTTGTCCAGGACCAAATCCAGGGAATCCCGCTACGGCTCATTTCAAGAGACTTTCCTCCAAGCAGGTCTGAATTAAATGGTATACCAAGAACATTTTTACATTCATCATGAGATCCAAATGGGTTTTCAACACGCATTCAATGGGTCCACAGAAACCTATCCCCAGTGTTTTCCCTCCGGCCAGCGGCCCTGCCATCTGCAGCAACCATTTTCCTTCATGCCTTGTCATCCCCAACCTCCAGATGACTTCATCCACTCCAGCCACGAGGCCCCCACCTGGGAGCTGCCCCTGCCCCACAGCATTTCTTTTAGGGTCCAAAGTCCTAAGTCCCATTGATCCCTGTCAGCATCAACTCCACAACTGGAAAGATGGGAGCACTGCAGAGCATCAGCCATGTTCTGCCCGGTGGAAAACCTTTGGCACCAGCACTGACAGTTTATCTGGAAGAGAAAAGGATAAAGAAAAAGTAATATAGCAAGGTTCATAGTGCTTGTGATGAATAACATAAGACACATGATTTTCTCTAGGCTTCTAAATAGGGAGTGTGAAGTGAAGAAAAAGTAACACAGGCCTTTTTGAGAACACAAGTTTCCTGCCAGCAGAGTGACTGTAAAACTGGGACACAGTTAACAGACCAGAGGAAGGCAGGCAGGCTAGAGGACAAGGAGGATTGGAGGCATAGCCTGACAGCACAGTACAATAAAAATGGCACCTGCAGGTTAGAAACGTGCTGTGCCAAGTACACACACACAGGAGAACCAAATGAACAGGCAGTAATGGCCTGTGGCTCAGTATCAGAGCATCTCTGTTTTCTGCCTCACACAGGTACTTCAACCTCACCTTCACACACAGCTCAACAGCCACCTATCACTGGAGCAATTCTCTACCAGGAGTGGTATTTTGGAATGGGAGGGTACGGAACAGAGAGAACAGCATCTAAAGCTACTGTCAAGACACTGAAGTGAAAGTAACAGGCATTCACATACAGCACAGCAGCAGACACCAGCAAGACACTCAGCTGCTCCTCTAAGCTCCCTACCAAATTCCTTTGTGCCACTCCAATTAGACAGACCCTGGCTGAATTTCTGTTTTTCTGGAAAACTCATGCATCAAAAAGCCAAGGCACTGACCGCTTTTGTGAGTGTTGTTCCACTTTTTTCCCATCACAATACAGCTCTGTTTTCCAAGTACATTCCCACTCTGTGAAGTGCATATAGACTATAGATACACAAGAGGGTAGGGCTCCTGTCTAGGAGCCTCTTACCAAGTTGGAGGACTGAATCAACAACAGTGCTGTAAAATTCAACAAGGACAAGTGTATAACTCTACTCCTACAACAGGACAACCCCAGGCACCACCATAGCCTGGAGTCCTGCTGGCTTGGGATCTGGTGGAAAACACTGAACACAAGCCAGTAATGCATCTTATGGCAATGAAAACCAAGTCAATAAAATAAAACAATAAGAGAGAATTAGATGGAACAAAAGGAAAGAAGTTCTGTCCCAGAATAAAATCTGGGGGGGGGGTGTGGTAGCACCTCCATCCTTGTCACCCAAGGATGACACCCTCACCTCTACAAGTTCCCAAGGAACCTGACCTGCCTGTGAGAGTGGTCCTGCTTGAGAAGGGAGTGCACAGAAATCTTCTGAGCTCCCATCCTACCAAAACCCACCTATGACTGCACTATCTCCTGATCTTGCATCTGCCACAACACAGCTCAAAGAACACCTCAGCCCATTTCACGGTACTTCTTATCCTCCGAGTGGGCTGTCTATAGCCACAAATAATTAGAACAGTCCCCAGGCTGTGGGGCTGCTCCCTTCCAAAAGAAGTGCTTAGTGAGGGCATGTTTTACGTAGGCTTTCTGGTGTCTACTGAGAGGGGAATAGGTCTGCTTTCTGGTCTCACTTGGAACAAGGGCTGATCACAGTAGGAGTGGGGGGGTAAACCAAGGCAACATTAACTCGCTCGCTGCCGTTCTTGGGACAGATGATCTCCGTCAGTCCCTCTGGTCTTGGCTGACTCAGCAGTTCTCCTGTGAATAAAGGAAAACAGTGAAAATTTTTAAGCATCAGCAAGGCAATTTTTGCTTTTAGTATGCCCTTCCTCACCAGGTAAGCATCCGTGAGTGATGCAGGCAAGCACTGCAAGAGGGCTTCCTGGTCCTGCACTGCAAGCAGGTCCCATACATGTAACCATGGTGAGTGTCCTGAGTAGGCCTTACAGACATGCTGCTCCCCACACACATAACTGCCATCTTTCCAGTCTCTGCTTTGAATCACTGCACACAGCCTCAAGACCTCCTCAGGCATTCACAGCATCTAGATGGAAGATTCCCTAATGCCTCTCTCCTTGGGTGCATTTGCCACAACTGCCATGGGACTGCTGCTGCATCCTATCAGGACTCTTGGCTATGCTGTACTCTGCTGAGCATGCAAATCCCAGCTCCCAGCTGTCAGCTCTTCCATATTGGAAGCAATACCAGCTCTGTATTGAGTCACTAGCAGTGGGGGGCTCTCACAACGCCTGCTATCCCTCTGTGAAATGAGTCGCCTCAGCTCCACTGTTCAAGTGCCAAGTTGGCAGCTCCTCACTGCTGGCACCCTTGCAGAATGTAGCTCAGGGCAAGACACAGGTCAGCACAGTGAGAGGGGAAAGCCAGTTGCTGAGCTGTGCCCAGCTCCCCAACAGCTTGCTCAGAGCAAATCAAGTTTCCTCCTGGCTCCATTCCACACATGACTGGCCCCAGCAAGGCAGATCCCCCAGCCATCAACAAGTCATCTCCTCAAAGCAGTCCATCTTCAGCTTAGACACCCAAGAGCACCAGAAACACTTCTTGATACCTCTCTGGGAGATAGGTCTGCTCTCAAAGGCAATATGGGATGACCAGCAAGGGCTCAATTCTGAGTTTGCCTGCATGGCTGCCAAACAGACCTACCCAAAGCAGAGGCGCCAGGTCACTGCTGGCTTGATCAGTGACTTTCTTTACAGAGGCAAGCCAGCTGTGAGTGGGCTGCAGCCACAGGTCCACCCAAAACTCTCTGGACCCATCAATCAAGCAGCCACTGCGAGCTGTCCCCGCTTCCACTAAAACACTCAAGACAGATGGTCCTTGGACTCCTCTATTTTTAAATGCACTTGCAATAAATTCCTCTACTGTTAAAGAACATCAGAAAATGTCTCCTTCTGTCTAGTGGCTATTGCTGGGCACCCCAGGAAAAACAGAAAAGAAATCACATTTCAAAGTACTGCTCAGTCTGTGCAGCAATAGCACAACAGGCTGCCCCATCACAGGACATGAAACCCTACAAATGCTGCTTCCCTCTTCTCCTTCCCTCTTCTCCTTCTCTTCCCCCCTTCAGAAAACAGCACGTCATTTCATATAGAGAAAACAGAGGGGAGGGCTTGGCAAGGAATATGCACAGTTCCCCTTGAGAGATACTTGTAGGGCCAGCAATTCTAGTTTGCTCCCATAGTCTGCAGTCTGAATTCACATTTGGTTTGAGTATCTCCCCTCAACTCACACCTACACTTAAACCTGAACTGGCAGAACAGCTTTTAAGTGAGGAAGATGCATCTTCTAAACCAGAAGAAATGTCCTGGCATTTGCAATTCAAAGTTAAGTCTGCAAGGCAGCGTCTTCAATTACATGAGCTGTCATATTTTGAAAGCAGCATTGTACCCCATCAAGCATGTACACCACAGAGCTCCAGCTCCCAGCAATTCCCAGGTTTCCAACCCCAGGCTGACTTCCAACCTGCAGTACTGATAACTGTACTGAAAGCCCATTTCTGAAAAACGAGTCACAAAATCAGTGCACCATTATGCACTTTAAAGACAGGGCTGATATCCACTAAATCTTAAATCAGAGGAGTGCAATAAGACTGGTCTGTCTGCTTGAGCCTTCATGCCTATTTCCATCTTCCCACTTCAGAAATACTTAGATGGTGATTTCTCACACAGAGGAGATTGCTGTAGGGTAAAACAGATGTCTGATTTGCAGGCAAAACCCTTACCACGGCTCTTCAGTCACCCTCCTTGTTTTTATGGCTTTACCTTCCTCCCTAGGCTGTCTCTAGGATAAAGCTCACCTTACCCTGTACCCAGCCCCAACCAAATCTCTTCCAGCCCCACTCCCATTTCCTGCTGACATACATGCTGCTCCCCAGAAGAAAGACTTTTCTTACAATTTCACCATAAGACATATCATGCACCAAGTGGACAGAAGGTCATCTATGTGTCCTTACTAGTCCTTCCCCCTTTCAGCTAGAAGATGTCCTGCTGTTTTACTATACTGTTCCCATCCCCTTCTCATTGCAAACTGATCATCTTTGCTGCACAAATTCATCACAATACTAAACTAGGTATAACTATCTAAATCACACCTCGTATCACTTACTGAATAAAAGTCAATGCAAATGCCATTGCTATATGCACTGTGATGCATGCTGTAACAAACCAGCATTGAGACACCCTGCTTAGATACAACTCTCCAGCCCAGAATCTCTTGGAGGTTTCAGAAACCTCACATTTCTATTCAGAAATTATTCAAACTGTAGGAGATTATTATTGGATTATCTCCTACAAGTCCTCAGGGCCACAGCAGGATGGGAAAGAGGAGATACAAAGAGATATTGGACTGATTGATACAAAAGGATACAAAAGGAAAAGCTAAGTGCCTGGCATGGGCAGGTGTTTCCTTGGTTTAATTTCAGAGTTTAAATGCAGTTTAAATGTAGCACCTTGTGTTTGCAGTACTTGTTCTGCCCCTATGTACGGGCTGTATTTTGCACATTCCTCTGTGAGCCTGTCACAAATTTTACTGGAAGCCTCAGCTCTGCTTGCCCCCTCTGAAAGGTTGCCTGCAATAGCACACACAACCACAAAGCTTATCTTAGTCTCAACATGGACTTAGTTTTAATGTTAACACTGAAGCCAATAAGGTTTTAACCAAAACTCCAACTACTTTGTCTTACGGTTAAAGACTATGACAGTCAAGTGTGTGAAGAACAACTTCATTTTTCAGAAGACAAATCTGCTTGACTAAGATTATTCATCTGATTTAAGAGCACAAGCCCTATTTTTAAAGGCACTTTAATGCTGAGTACTTGATGATCAAGGCCTGATGTTTAGATGCATCTAAATCCCAGATCAGTTTATAGTAGAGAGCCTGGTTAAAAGCACCTGCAAATAGAGAGCAAATGCTTAAGAAGATTCTCCTTTGCTGCCTCTCATTTGCAATAGCACAAATGGTGCAGAAAAGTTCTATCTGTTCCATGGTCACCCTCCTGGTGTTTTGGCACAGAAATTGGTCTCCACAACTTGGTAAACTGTGCTGCTCAGCAAGTTAAGATTGAGGCACAAACCAAGACCCTGTGATGAAGCTTCCATGGTCAGTTTGGCTGCTGCCATAAGCTGGCTTGTAAACTCTCCCAGGCAGATGGGCTGAGCAAGTCATGATGCCCACATTGAAAAGAAATGTGCTACACATGGGCAGTACAAAGGAATGACAGGAACCAACCTTCAGCCTTTCCTAGAGCTCTACCAGAAAGGCCTGTTTCCTTTCAGCATTAGCCAGCTCACCTGAAGCAGTTACTTCTATGTCAGCAAGATGTTCTTCACTGCCACTGTTCTATCCCAGAACACACACAGGCACAGGCTCACTCAAAGCTCATGCCAGTAATCAGAGCCATGCATGCTGCAAAGCACACTTCACTGGCCTTTAGAAAATACCCGTGAAATGCCAGATATCCGTGACAAATCACAGAGCTATGAGAGGGGCTGACAGCAAGAAAAGCGAGTACTTGTAGCAGTGTTTGGTTACTCCATGCTGGCAGCCAGACAGTGTCAGCTGTAAGCCTACTTGGCTGCCTAACAGAGAGGAAGGTTTGCATGCAGGAAGAAAATCCCACCTAGAGCACTTGCCTTCACGCAGTTCCCACTTGCAGTGGCTGTGCAAAGCGGCTCAAGGCTCCCCATTCATGTAGGAAGAATGTGCTGCAAGGGCATAGGGACGAGATACTCTAATCCAGCCTGTTGTGCCATCTTCTCTCCCTCAGAGCTCTCAGGACAGCACATTTGCACAGTATCAGCCTATGTTTACCATTTTCATGCTGTCAGGATCTGGGCCCCATTGGGACAAACAGTCAGAAGTGGATGAGCAGGACCTGGCCCCAGCTCTGTGGTGTTGCTTCTCTCTCCAGTCTGCCAGAGACTTTGAGGATATATTGCTCATGCTTTACAACAAGGGAATGAGAGCCCAAACCAAGCTGCTCCTACATCCTGCCCTGCTTCAGCACTGACCCATTTACTCCATCATATATCCTAGAGCTGCTCTGAGCAAGGACCCACTGGTTTTTGCAGCCTCAGTACTCATATGTTCTCTTACCCTAAATCCCTCTCACTCTTCCTCCTTGCTGAAGGCCTTCCAACACAAACCACTGCAAGTGTGGTTGACTGGGGACAGACTTTACATCCCAGCCTCAAGTGTTTCTCCCTCAAGCCTCCTTTGACTAATCTTTGCTTGTGACATCTCTCAGCATAGTACTCAGCAGTCATGCCTTCAGGAGAATAGAGAATAGAACACTTCAACACTGCCTGCATACCCAAAGCATGTGCCTCATGCTTGGTTTCCAACAGCAGCCAGAAAACAGGGCTCACATGAGAGCCCTGGCTCTCAGAACACCCCTCTGTGTTGCATGCAGTCCTGTCCCCTTTCATCCATACGACTGCAAAGAAATTGGGGCTGGGGAAGCTACAGCTTCTGTGCCTGGCTGTTTGTTGTTTTAAGGTTCAATAGCTGGAGCACGCACACAATTACATCAAAGCTGTCACAGAGGCAGGGTGAGATGAATACCCATGTGCACAGATTTCCCCTTCTGCTTCAAGCGCAGGAAACGCCCTCATACACTGGGACTTTACAGCCAGCTCTACAAGAAATCTTCCAGGAGTCTTGGCAGAAGGAAAGGGAAGGAGATTGTGTCTCACAACAAGCCTCCATCTACTCCACACCATTTAAATCTTCTCTGCTTAGAT